AAATCGATAGATCCAATTTAGATTAGATAGCAGATGTAAGTCAAACAAAAACCGATAAAATTGATTGATATCCAAACTTTAAAGTTTGGTAAAACAGTTCTGGAATAGATATTCTAATTCGACTATTGAATTTCTAATTAAAATTTGATAAAACAGTTTGAGAATGGACATTGAAAGTAAAGTATTGAATTCTTGACAACTGAACTATCAAATTTATGTTGATATATATTGTGTATATTTTCTAATACATATTATGGATTAATTTATTAAATACATATTGTTGTAAGTTGTAACTTTTACTTCAATAGGATCAATTTGATTAAAGATAAACTTACAACAAAAGGAAGGAATTGTCAACATATTCCCTTTCATAACTCACAGTTTTTTGTATGAGTGTTTCGATAAATGGACTCTGCGAAGACACTTCAAAAGCCGGCAACTTTTGAAGTGCTCCGCAGCACTTAACTACTAAACCCCCCAAACCCCCCCAAGCGATGTGGGAACTTAACCCCACAGGGTGCCCTGCTGCTAAGAGATAAAGACCCCCCAGACTCCCCGAGACAGGTTTTTCCCTTTCATAACTCACAGTTTTTTGTATGAGTGTTTCGATAAATGGACTCTGCGAAGACACTTCAAAAGCCGGCAACTTTTGAAGTGCTCCGCAGCACTTAACTACTAAACCCCCCAAACCCCCCCAAGCGATGTGGGAACTTAACCCCACAGGGAATTGTCAACATATTCAAGTAGTCTATTTTTCGTTTTTCAATTAAAATATTTGACACAAACACCAAATGGAATACAAATAATTTCCTTTTTTTCTAGATTTGGAGAGCACCTGGAATAACTATTCAATAGTAATAGTCGGTCAGCCATGCGGCAGTGAATCCATTCCCAAGCCTTGTACACACCGTTCGTCACACTAGGACAATTTTGTCTATTAGTAAAGGAAATTACTATTGAATAGATCGGCAAATAGGACAATTTTGTCTATTAGTAAAGGAAATTACTATTGAATAGATCGGCAAATAGGACAATTTTGTCCATTAGTAATGGAAAGTACAAATATAAGCCGAAACATCTCTCGATGCATCTCTTTTTGGAAGACGATTAAGTCTCCCTTTGGAGGGGGGAGTGTTATTAACCGTTTTCAAAATTCAACTTTTAAGTCAAATCATTACTTTACTGTTTGAAATAGTTGCACTGATAATTATTCTTGTCCCTTTGGTTATGATAAATTCACAATAAACCTCTCTTGAGATTTCTGACAATTTCACTCGTCTCCCATGAGATTTGCAAAATAACACTAACCTATCCTATAGTGTCTTACTGGGGAAAAATTACCCATATACCCTATGATACTCTGACTTATTGAAAATAACATCTGACAATTAAGTAATCAGGGCACTAATTAACTATTAGTAAGTAATTAGTAAAAATAACTATTGGAGATTTTTTTAATGATGAACAGTAACCTGCAGTTACAAAATGGTACCAATTGATGTACCAAATATTTGTTCACTCTAAAAAATTGATACACCAAATTGATACATCAAACAATAATTTGTCTGGATTTTTGTACTTTCAAAAATCTTCACAGTTGTTTTGCAATTACACTTGCAATATTTATTCTTTGTGTTAAAGGATGTGGGTGGATTTTATGATTTCCTCCTATAGATTGACACGGTCATAGTTTTTACACATATGCTTCACCTTCAGCTTGGCAAATCCCCACAAAATCATTATTTTTTCACATCAACTTTTGCTGCTTCAAGTGAAAGTGATATCCATCTTAATGTTTCTTGTTGCATTTTATATGCAAAATGGTAAAGACCTAAAAAAATATCCGTTGTAATCCAATGCATTAGCCGTTGGTTCAACTTTGTAGTGAAAGTCAGTTGCTACTAATTTTTTGTTCTTTGCTATTTGCTCTTACCTTCTCACACTTTTATTAATATATTTTTCATTTCTTTACAATACAACTTGTACATAAGCATAAAGAGCATTTGTCGAATAAAAATTTTATCTCTTTTCTCAAAGTACTTTTCTAATGGTATTTTTTCTGATTTGGACTAATTTTGTTACCAAAATCTTAACCTTAGGAGAGGTTAGTGTAATTTTATAAATTTTAAGGGAGGTCAGTGCAATTATTGAAAACCTCAAGGGAGGTTTCTGAAATTATCCCTAAATTCAGAAATGAAAAGGACTATTGTGGGGGCCAAAGACCGAAGGTTTCCTGGCTGCATCTAGAGGTGTCAAATAAAACCATTTAACTAATTTTACCCATACCCGCCCATTAATAATTGAATATGGGTATATTAAATTTTTATATATGAGTATAAATGAGTTACCCAATTATACCCATTTATTAAATGGGTATAATTGGGTAACCCATCTAACCCATTTAACCCATTTAACTTACATTCCCAAACCTTTTGTATTTCCCGGGGTGAAAAAGAGCTGGCTGGAGTTTTTTCAGGTGGAAAAGACTCAAATTCTTGAAAATTGCAATCTACATCTGTAAAAGTATCCCAATTATTTTCTTGAGTAGTGATGGGTCTGGTGAAGAATTTCAGGGAGAAAAAGAGGGGGTCTCTGGAGGATGAGCAGAGAACTGGAATGGATATAGCATTTCTGAGGAACCCTTTGCTCATTGTCCCACGAGAAACTAAAGATTGGGCGAGATTATAGGTAATTAGGAAGAAATGGAGCCGGCGGTGGTGGTGGCTTCGGGGGCGGCGGCCGGAAGGATTTGAATTATTGTGTGGGCACATTTTTTAATTTTGATTAGTTGAGTGACCAATTTGCTTAAGAAAAAGTTTATTGACTATAACAAGAAATTATAAAAAATTTAGCAATTATTTACGCGATTTACTTTCTATAAAATGGTGCAAGTTTTGAAATATTTGATATTATGACAAATTTTAGCTTCCTTTCTTACCTTTTCAAATGAAATTTTAAATTTATAAACGAAAAAATACTAGAGGTTCAAAGTTTTGGATTAAATTTTTTTGTTAACTTTCATATTATTTAGTCCAAATTTTTAGATTCTTATTGTTCAATTATTAAATAATATGTAATTTTGCGACATGGCATGCGGATGGAAAAAAAATTGATAATTAGACTTATTTGGCATAATAAGTAAATATTTAAAATTAATGATGGGTGTAAAATGGTATAAATTGATAATTTAGTTTACAAAATGAATTTATATGAGCTTGTAAAAAATTAGAATAAATGGGTTATAAATGGATAATTGGGTTATCCAACTCATTTTTTGACTTACCCATTTATACCCATCTAATTAAATGGATATAAATGAGTTGACTCACTTATACCCATTACCCATTTTACCCAACCCAAACCCGCCCAAATCACCCATCTTGCCACCTCTAGCTGCATCTATTCCTTTCCACGGAATGAAAAAGCACTTGGTTGAAGCTATGAAATTGCCATAAAGTACGAACAATCGCAGTGTGATCGTTTTTCCTTCCCCTCAGTCATGGATGGTAGCTAAATGTTTAGGAAATGCTACGACATCAAGCTACTAGCAACTCAAGGCTGGCAACTCACCTGGAGGATATTAGAGATCTTAGCTCAATGTTTAGCAAATGCTCATTTGATAGCCTACCTGTTGAAGTGAATAGGCTCAGTGAAAAACTGAGTAAGCAAGCTATGCGTGTACTTTAATGAGGAACTCTATGCTCCTCAGTGGTTTAGTCCACTTTTGTAAAGTATAAGCTTGAGCTCTTGCTCATATAATGTGTTTGTTCTCATTAATTTTATGAATAAAATCTCTATTGTTTCTGGAAAAAAAAAAAGAAGTCATGGATGGTAGCTTGGCTTCGAGTCAAGCCAAACAGAGCCGAGATTATTATCTTGGATTGGTCACGTGGTTGATAAATGGTGTCAGTAGCACATTGGATATTTTAATTTGTTCAGCTAAGGTTGGTCCCACTCCACTTGGTGAACAACCTATTGCTGTTTTCTGCGATCTCTCGTGAAAGCGATGGTGGCTTTTTCGGTTTGCTCCAATTTTGGTGCTAAAAAAAACGTACTTTCTTATTAAAAGTGTTATATTTTTTTTTATTGTTCAAAAGATTTATCATGTTTAATATTTTTAATTATTTTATACTCTGAAACTTTCTTTATATTTTTCATTAATGATGCATAAAAATAAATATGATGGGATTGTTTTCTACTCTTTATTTTGACCAGCAAATTATTAAGGGTAAAAGTGAAACAATTTTTTTTTTGATGGAATATACTATGCATAAAAAGTACTTCATCCGTCCCATTGAAAATGCCATACTTTCATTTTTTATTATTCCAAAATATTTGTCATGTTTGACATTTATAATTATTTTATACTCTAAAACTTCCCTTACGCCCTTCATTAATGATGCATAAAGACAAATGTGATGGGATTACTAACTACTTCATACTTTTTATTTTGACCAGCACATGATTAAGGGCAAAAGTGAAACAAAAGAAATTTTTTTTGATAGTGTGTACTATGTATAAATAGTAAATAATCCCCAAACATGACTAAATTTATGGGACGGAGGGAGTACGTATCTCCGAACATGATTAAATATATGGGATGAAGGGAATATTAATTAGAATCAACAAAAGTTAGTACTATTAGATAGATTCTCCATTAAAACTTGTTTTTGCTTGTTGAAAATTCTGAAGTTTAGAAAGAAAAGCAATTGGAACATCGTCTTCACTAAACTAATTTTTCAAAATCAATATCTAAAACAATGTGAAATAATTAAATGAAAATACCATGATAATTGACTTTTTATTCAGTCCAAAAAACAACAAGAAGTAAAAAAAAAAAAAAGTAGGTGAAGGTTTCCAAGCTCCAACCATCAATCAACGAGTTCACTATTTGGTAATTGTCGTGACTCCAAGAATTAAATAGGCAAACAAATCCACTGCAAATCTCCCATTCCCCTCCCTTTGCTCTATTTATACTACTCTTTCTCAACAATTCTCACACACCTAGCCATAGTCCTAGCTCAAGCAATCTTACCCAAAAAAAAAAGCAAAAAATAGGTTCCTTTGATCATTTTGCTAGATAGATACTCATTCTTGACAAAATGTTGAAGCCTCATGTCTTGCATAGCTCACAAACTACACGAACCCTACTTCCATGGAAGAAACCATTTGTATCAGGTGATGGCAATGTTTCTTTCCCAAATTTTCACAAACCACCCGTGTTGGGAAAGGCCAAAAAGAACGTCCCAGTTCGCCATGCTGCTAGCAGCATTAAGGCCATAGTCACCGACACCGATAAAATTACTAGAGTTAAAGCAGTTGTCACTGTGCAACCAACGGTGGGAGGAATTCTTACACATTTAGGGTTGAGCAGAGGACTTGATGATATAACCGATATGTTCGGAAAAACCCTCCTACTGGAGTTTGTTCCGGCAGAACTTGACCCCAGTAAGTGATCAATGGTTATGGCTATCTCAGTAGTATAATTTCAAACTTGATTTTCAGAAAAAAAAAAAACTTTTAGCTTAATTTCTTCTGGAAGAATTCTATTGTCATCACAGAGGTACGGCCTACAGTTTGATTTTCGCTTATGCGAGGATCTGTCAACACCAGAAACAGTAGAACGCGTTTGGAAAATTTGAAACACCATTTTTCAATTGTCAACTGAAGTGTGTGTTTATTACAGGACACCTTTTTCTATTTTGTGCCCTATGCATACAAAATAGAAGAGACGGATCCGCTATAAAATTCAAATATTATTATTATCCATTCACTGAATTTTGTAAACTTTTTGCCTATATTTTTAAAACTTTTACGGGCAATTATACACCAGTCTCAGCTCTTATCATCAGTATTTTGAGAATTAGATTGGACCGTCCGATTTGACCAGTCAAACCAAACTAATAATACCTCTAGTTTGGCTCAATAGTTAATCCAAAAATTAAGGTAAACCGGTCAAATTTGATCAAGAATCGGTTGGAATGGTAAAAATCGTGGAGATTCAGCTGGAATTTACTAAACTTTTTCTAAAAAATATATCAATTGTATTCAAATTTATAATATTAAAATAAATAAAAAATATTCTAGTTCATTTTTGAACTTCTAAATATTTGAACTACTGCAAAACCAAAAACTCATCCAGTTCATTCTTCAATTCGAGTTTAAAATTGTTTATCATGTGTCCATAAGCCACATAATAAAAGAAACTTCATTTAAAAAAGGTTTTATGCTACTAATTTTCTAAAAAAAAATTAGTGAAAAAAATCCTAATTAGAAACAAAAGGGACATATCCATAAGTTATGATCGGGCAAAAGGGTACATTTTATCTCAGTACAGGCTGTACAGCATTCTTTAAATTTTATTGTCGCGAGCAGAAAAGGCATAGCACTACTAAAGATAATAGGCACCCTTGTGTGGTTGCAAATTCCTGCTTTCTAATCTGCCTAACCAGGAGTATCTCAAAGATTCTATGTTGCAGAGGAGTTCATGCAAGTTGCAACGTGCCGCCAAATAGTTCCATAATACTCAATAAGTTTGACTTGTCATATATTCGATCAGTTTTGAACAGAGACTTTTGCATCTCTCCCCTAAGTTTTCATTGATCTGTTAAACTTTTCCATAATACTCAAGGTGCTTCGTCGTTTTAACTTAGATGAATAAGAAAGATTTGGAAAGGGATTAAGCTTGTCCCTTCAGAATAACTTTTCGTTGGCTATTCCTCCTTAATTAATCAGATTATTAGAGCCTACAAGAAAATTTTCCAAATTTATTAAGTTCTTGAGAAAGTATTATACAAAGCTGCATGGATCTCTTGTATGCTGCCAAAATGCTACTAGTAAAATTACTTAAAAAGTTTTTATCTTTTAACCCTTTAATAAGGTCAATTTATATTTATTGTGTCCATTTTTTGAAACTTTTTGTTTATAATTTTGTTTAGTTGACCATGCTAAAGTTTTTCTTTCTCTTTTTGAAGAGACCGGACTTGAAAAGCCGACTGTCAAGGCTTATGCACACAAGACGAATCTGCTTGGGGAAACGACAGAGTATGAGTGTGATTTCGAATTATATCATGGTTTTGGGACGATAGGAGCAATATTGGTGGAAAATGAGCACCACAAGGAGATGTTTTTAAATAAAATAGTCATAGATGGCTTTGATGATGGACCTGTAAATTTCACTTGTAATTCTTGGGTTCCTGCCAAAAATGACACTGATGAGAAGAGAATTTTCTTCACCAGCAAGGTCAGTATAATTGACTTATGCAATTCCTTCTTACTTTTCTTCTACCTCATATGCATTAAAAAAGACTGCAAAGAAAGCACAGTAGTAGAAATTAAAATCCATATTTTTTTCTTTTTCCCTTGTCCATTCTCACTCCTGCCCTGCTAAAAGATCTAAGTCAAAAAAGAAAAAAAAAAGGTGAATTTGCACATAAGAAGGATCATATGCTTTTGGCTTTGAGATCTGCTAAATCCTTATTCTTAGAGTTATACTCATCATTTTTATTTTCCGATTAGATCCATTGTTTTCCATGTAAGTATAAACTTTTGAAAAAAAAAAAAAAGAATCTACTTTTTAAGAGTCCACATTTGGAGATGGAAGATATTTCACAAAATTTGTAGGGTTCAATTATATAGACCAACTAAAAGTTTTAAACTTTTCTATTTAAAGCCTACGTGTTATTCTTCTTGTCGTCCATAGTCCAAACCCATGGGACGCAATCTTAGGAATCTTAGTTTCTCCAATAATTGTCCTATGGTAAACTTTATTTGAAACAATTTAGCTTGAATTTATATGTCTATATATTCTGTCTTTTGAGCGTTTAAAGGAGCAAAGTTAGAAGGTCCCTTTACGATAAGGTAGAAGTGTTAAGGGATGATTAAAAATTTTGAATAGTTTGAAGAGTTACTTAGTTTAGCACGATTATGAAGATTACGTTTGGACCACTACAATGTATGTAAGTTTAAAAATTATTCTGTTGTTTAGAACTAAAAATTGATGTTACTTATTTTGTTAATCATCTAAAAGATTACTAGCAAATGGCAGACATGAAAGAAATATCAAGTTTTTTTTTTTTTTTTTTGCATTATCAAACTCAATTATGATGATGATGCACAAATACCTCTAAACTACAACTGTTTTTTTTTTTTTTTTTCGCAACGATAGGATTCTTATAACCTAAACTAGCCTATTCTAGGGGGGAGGGGGAGGGACTCGATGTGAGTAGAAACTCTATCGAAAATGACCAATGAAAATTGTCACATATTGTGACAATTTTTGTGGGAGACAAGATTCGAACCCTTGACCTCCCGCACCACCAAGCCTGGGAAGGCTTGGGATGACAACTGGACCAAAGGCCCAGTAGCACCACAGCTGTTTCACGTGTGGTGCGATTTCGCACAAGATTAGACTTTTCACCACACTTGGTGGGCCAAATTTTGCTATCACGTCTCTTATTTCGTGGTCCATGTGGTACCAGACTACTACCAGTGCTAGAACAAATTTATCCCATTTAATTGACTTGCCAATCCCATGGTAGGTGGTAACAAAAAGGAACAAAAATAGAAAAAAGTTTAAGTATCAATGCAAAAAAGATATTTCTTGGTTGTTATTCTAGTACTTCAAGAATTAGGTGTTGGACGTTAGAGAATGTACAAATAAGATTTATCATATAGTTTTAAGTTTTCAGCTTAAATGGGAAAAACAAATAATTCTAAGTAAATGCCGTTGTGATGGTCAAAACTGGAAGGAATATTTGGCTAACTAGCATCACTTTAACCATGAACTTGCTTGAAAATTTCAGAGACCTCCAAATTAAAATGTAATTGTTTTCCAAGGGTGAGCACTGAGCATTATGGCTAATCGATCGTTCGTAAATTCTTACCTTCGATGAGTAATTCTTACATATACAAACACACTTATATACATGTATGTATGTATATGTGTGTGTATATATATTTGACATTTAGGTAATAAATGTAGGCACTATCGCTGTAAATATCTAGCACCAAAGAAAACGTGTATAATTGCACCTTAGAAGACAATAAGAGCAGAAATAACTTGGCATAAAGCAATATTGTCATGCAAGTGCAAAATTAGTCTTGGGGAAGCTTGGGCCATGACCTAAATAATTTCTTTCTCTATGTACCAAAAAGTGCAAAATCCCAAATGAGCTAGAAAATAGTCATCTCAAGAAAATCTATCCAAGTCTTCTTGTATGACGGTTGAACCTTGTTATTGTATGATTTATACACGGTGCATTAAATGGTTTTTGACATAGACTATATGCTTTTAATTAGTCCTATTTACCATCGGATACTCCAAGTGGGCTCAAGAAGTATAGGGAAAATGAGCTCGTAGTTGTCCGAGGAGATGGAACAGGAGAGCTCAAGAAATACGACAGGATCTATGACTACGATGTGTATAATGATTTAGGGGATCCTGATTCGAGTGAAGATTTAGCCAGGCCAGTTATTGGTGGTAAAGAGAATCCATATCCTAGGCGCTGCAGAACTGGCCGCCCCAGAACCGAGAAAGGTAAGATTATCTGTTTACAGTCAATTTACATAAGCTCTTATCACCATTCTGATCAACAAATATGTTGAGAAACTTTTTTTTTTTTTTCTTTTTGAAATATGAATTCGTTCTATCCAAATCTAATGCTAGACATTATAGTTACAAATCCAGTGGTTCATTGATACTTTTATAATTCAGAAAGTATAGAAACTCTTTACAAGATTTTTAAGTGAACCAAACATATTCAATCTGTAAGATAGTTTTGAAAAATTGATTTTAATGCAACATTTATGGTTTCATGGATAAGATCTTATCTAGCTTGTACTCTTTCGGAACAGGGTATTTATTGCAACAAAAGCCAAATTATGGACCACAACATGATAATAAGGGCTTTCGTATTTTAAGGATTTCATTTTTGTTCCTTGTTATTATTATTATTAATGTTATTTGTGAAGTATTTTCCTAATTTCATTTTCAACTACACTACAGAATTTTCCTATTGAACAACAACGAATTTTTCGTAGTATTTTATTGTAGCAATGGCATGAACAATAATATGTTCTTGTATGCCTTCTTGGATTTTTAGACAGAAAAACACACACACACACACACTCTCAGAATCAAAACATTTCATTCTTATACACATTCGACAATTGCCAGTACAAATAGGTCTTTTCATGGTCCCATTCCGAGTTTCAAACGGGGCCATACGATGCCAATGCAACAAGATAAGGTATTGGACTATTAGTACACTGTGATATCCCTATAATATGGACTTTTTGAAGGTTGTGAGAAAAAAGTCTGAGGAGCATTCAATGCCGGGAGCCTTTTTGGTAGTTGATTACTTTGAGATTGCGCAGTCTATCACAGCAATAGTAAAGCAATCGTCTATTAAAAGAAAAAGTATCTGGGTAATAGATGGTGATTGATTATGACCAAGACAATATAGCAAGAATCAAACACTGATTAAATGAAATATTTAAGGGATAATTTCAGAAACCTTCCTTGAGGTTTCTAACTATTTCACTTGCCTCTCTCCAGGTTTAAAGAATTACACTAGCCTCCCTTAAGGTTAATTATCTTGCAAACTATTGTTATTAAAAAAAAGGTTAATTATCTTGTAGCATTGAGATCTAACCAATAATTAAAAAGTGATATTAGAAGAGAGAAGATAACATGATACCACTGTTGCCCCTCATCTACTACATTATTTAGTTAATTTAATACTAATGCACTCATTAATAAAAAAAACCAAAATTTTCTATTTATCATTAAGGATAAAACCACGTATAGCATCAAAAAAATAATATATCATTCTATATTTGCACTTAATGCAAAATTCAAATTATTCTTTTCAGTTATATACCTACTGTTAGACATGACCAACAACAAATAGTCAAAAAATTTTGCAATCGAAACATTACAGAAAGTGAACTTTAACACGTAAATATCCTTGTCAATATATTAAGATTAGCTGTTGAAGTTTTTATGGTATTAAAATTCGCTCTTTGTAATATTTGATAGCAAATTTTTTGATTATTTATTGTTGATCATGTTTGACAATAAGTTTTAAACTGAAAGGAATAATTTAGATCTTACACTAAGTGAAAAATATAGAATGATATACTATTTTTTGATACTATATGTGATTTGATCTATTATAATAAATAGTAAATTCTAGTGTTTTTCTTTAATATGTAGGCTGGTATTAGATTAATTAAATAATATAATAGATGAGGGGCAAGAATGAAATCATGTTATTTTCTCTCTCACAATATCACTTTTTAATTGCTTCTTGGACCTAGTTGTTATAAGATAATAAATCTCAAGAGAGGTTAGTATAATTTTTGAAACTTAAAGGGAGACCAATGAAATAGTCAGAAATCTCGCTGAGGTTTTTGAAATTATCCCAATATTTAAAGTGTCTGAATTTTAAGGTGGTGATTAATTATGACCTAAGTGAAGAAGAATGAAAATAAAGGACTTAAGATGGAGATACCTTGAAATAGTTGTCAACAATTAATAAATATTATCTTTTTGGGTTTTGATCTTCAGATGAATCATGAAAGAACAAAAGATAAATATGTAAAATAACAACTTTAGGTGTTTTGATGTTTAACCATAATCAAGCTTCTCAACAAAAAAAAAAAAAAATCCAAAATCATGAACAAATTTTGTTGTTTAAAAAATTCTAAGAAGTCAAATATTAAGGATGTGGTTGAAATCCAGATTTGCACATAATATGTCACATATTTAGTAAGAACATTTTGCAAATAGATAGAGAGAAAAATACCCCTGACTAAGATGACTCGGATTCTGTTAGCACTCCCCCAGCCAAATCCGGGTTAGTCTCACTGAAAATGGGGATATTGGGTGCTCAAAGCCAAAAAGAAAGAAAGAAAGAAAGAAAGAAAGAAATACAGATTGCTTTTATGTAGATTTAAAAAAAAAGAGGGAAGGCTATTTTCATAGATATCGACTGAGGACAAATAAAAAATGTGGCACATAAGTTTCGTTCAACATTTGAGAATATTTTGTTTCCCACTAATTTCACAAAAAATATATTCAATAAACCAAATGCTATCCTTATTAGCCCAAGAAAAGTAAAATAGTCAAACTATCCTCTTGTGATTCAAAAACCCTACTAATTACCCCCTTTATGACTATATTGTGATCAGAAAAAAAAAATCTTCTAGTAATGCTTCAAACGTTATTGTCATCAAGGCAAAATTAATTTCTTGAATTTGTCTATTTAACTCTCTTATCAATGATTTTTTTCTATTCTTCGAAAGTGCTGTTACATGAAAATTGATACATGTTTACAAATGCAGATCCATTGTCAGAGTCAAGGAGTGGCGATGTGTATGTGCCAAGAGATGAAGCTTTCTCCGAAGTAAAGAATTTGTCATTCTCAGCAAAAACAGTCTATTCAGTTGTGCATGCTTTAGTACCAGCTTTACAGGGTGCTGTTCAAGACAGAGACAAGGCATTTCCATACTTCACAGCCATAGATTCACTATTCAATGAAGGGATTAATATACCAACTCATAAGGAGGGATTTAGTCTTGGAGCAGTTTTGCCAAGGCTTATTAAAGCTGTCACTGATACAGGAAATCAGCTCTTGCAATTTGAAACTCCAACATTTGTGGACAGTAATCTCTTTATCCTTTCATCTTTTATAATTATTATTCTTATTGTTGTTATCTATACAATATATAATGCCAAGGGGTAGTTGGGATAAACCATCTAGTGTCACTTTATTATTTCATGTTTACCCTTCTGATTAACTATTTAATGTCATGTAAACTCCACTACTAATGTCAGGCAATCACGTCCAACATAAAAACTCCACTCCTAATATCACATATACATCACGTTTATTTCATTGACTTACAAATTACTAATCCTTTAAAATTCTTTCTCCTCCATCTCCTTCATTTCAATAAAAACTTCTCTTGCTATAAGATTTTCATACTTTTATTGTTGAACACAATAATCCTATGGTTGATTGTAGATTTCCATTGCCAACGATAAGGTATGCCTTTCTTCTCTCTTTTTTTTTTTTCATTTTTTCATTTTTCTTCTTTAGATATTACATTAATTTGAGTGGTTGATTTGCTAAGTTTTTTCATCTTAAGACTCTAGATTCATTAGGTAATTCGTTGCACACTGAGTGTGCATTTGATTACTAGTTGTTATAATTATTATTAGCAGAATTATCAATAGTATTATTATGATTAGTATTACTATCATGTTACTAGGGAAAAAGGTGGGAAATTATGGGATCAAATCAAGGAGGGAAGAAAATTCGATACTTTTATAGCAGTAACAAATGATTTCAATTTTTTTAAATAAGAGGCATAAATTTACATTTTCGTTTCTCAGGGGATAAATTTGGTTGGATGAGGGATGTGGAATTTGGTCGCCAAACCTTAGCTGGTCTAAATCCATGCAGTATCAAGCTGGTTACGGTATGTAAACAGTTTTTTTTTTTATTTTTACCTTTTGTCTTTGAGTCATAGGAATTTGTTAGATAACACATTTGCATTCCCATGGTTAGTGTTAATTATTTAGTTCTTTATTATTTTTATGGAACTATCCTACAAGTACTATTTATAATTTTGATCCTCATGTTTGCACCAATTCTTGTTTTCACCTTGCCTTTTTGTACACTATGATAATCCCCCTTAAATCTATTTATCTTTTCAATTAACTTGAGTTTTCATAGAAATTGCACTTAAGGGGTGTATTAACAACACTCGTTAAACAAAGTATTCATTTTTATCTTTGCAAAAATCTTAACAAAAAAAAAAAGAAAATAAAGGAGTATAGCTTCATTGTTTTCTCCATTTTTTGGTTGTATCAAGGGTCATAGGATCAATTTTAATATTGCCACATAATGCCTCAGGAGTGGCCACTGAAGAGTAAACTAGACCCTAAAGTGTACGGACCAGCAGAGTCAGCTATAACAACAGAACTCATTGAGCAAGAAATCAAAGGTTTCATGACAGTCGAAGAGGTGACATTAGCCATATATTATCAACAAATTATTTAATTCGGTATCCTATATCAACAATCATAGATTATAATTAATTTGAATAAATTTTGGGTTGAATTGATGTAGGCAATAGAGCAAAAGAAATTGTTCATTGTAGACTACCATGACCTTTTCTTACCATATGTTGAGGCGGTTAGAAAGCAAGAGGGGACAACCCTTTATGCGTCAAGGACGTTGTTTTTGTTGTCCCCTGATAGCACGTTGATGCCCCTGGCTATTGAGCTAACCCGACCAAAAATGGGTGATAAGCCTCAATGGAGGGAAGTTTTTCGGCCTTCTTGGAATTCCACCGGTGCCTGGCTTTGGAAGCTTGCTAAAGCTCACGTTCTTGCTCATGACTCTGGTTATCACCAATTGGTCAGTCATTGGTAAGTCTCGGCTTCATCCTTGTTCATGACCACGGTAATCACCAATTAGTCATTCTTTTAATCACGATCATCAATCATCTTTTTTATATCACGTAGATTCTATTTGATTTTTCTAAAAATACTCTAAAAATACATAGAAAATGCAAATTCAATGCTTATAGCTTGACAAAGAAGTGTATGCAATTAAGCGGGTAGTTGTATTTTGAGGAATTCATTGCATTGATCTTTCTTCAGACTCTGACACTTTGCCATTATTACATATATCTTATGTCCCTTCCTTATTTACATATGCTAATACAGGCAGTTTTTTTGTATGTTATACGTTTGCAGGCTAAGAACTCATGCTTGCACAGAGCCCTACATAATTGCAACCAATAGGCAACTTAGCGGACTGCATCCAATTTACAGACTGTTACACCCTCATTTTCGATACACAATGGAGATCAATGCTTTGGCTCGTGGATTCCTTATCAGTGCAAATGGGATCATTGAGAACTCATTCTCCCCTGGAAATATTTCCATTCAACTAAGTTCTGTAGTTTATAACCAAGAATGGCGGTTCGATCATCAAGCATTGCCAGGGGACCTAATTAGCAGGTAAATCATCTTACAACTCTTTAAACTTTCACTAATGTTGATTTAGTATATATTAATCATCAGCATGTCCAGATTTTCTGCAACTTTTATTTCTCCCAGTGGATTATTTATATCTCGACTATAAAGAATATATAAGTTTTCTAATGCTCTAATTGATTGTCTCTTAGTTCAAAATGCTTATATATATATATATATTGTCTACTTAAAAATTAAGATAAAAGATTTAGGATTAGACTCACAATATGAATTCTCATATTAAATGCAGCCGAGAACTGCTTTAATTTAGGTATAGTCCTCCCTTTACACTGCACTGCTCGTATGTCTTTTGAAACAAAATTGATAATACAAGCTTTGGTTACTTTAAGATTTTATGTCTCATTGATGATATCCTTTCTTGTCCTTTACCAAAAAATTTCATTTTCCATCGTTCCAATCGTTAATGATCAAATTTGGTTGGTGTCTACAGAGGAATGGCTGTGGAGGATCCAAGTGCACCACATGGCTTGAAGCTAGCAATTGAAGATTATCCTTTTGCCAATGATGGATTGATCCTTTGGGATATCCTCAAACAGTGGGTTGTAGATTATGTGAATCACTACTATCGTGATGCCAAAGCTATACAATCTGATGATGAGTTGCAAGCATGGTGGACGGAAATCCGAACAATAGGTCATGGAGATAAGAAAGATGAGCCCTGGTGGCCTGTGCTGAAAACCCCTGATGATCTAGTTGGAATCATAACTACAATCATATGGGTTACCTCAGGACACCATGCTGCTGTAAACTTTGGCCAATATGATTTTGCTGGATATTTTCCAAATAGGCCAACTACTGCTAGAGTCACTATGCCTTGCGAAGAGCCAAGCGATGAAAGGTGGGAAAGGTTCTTAGTGCGACCTGAGGTTGAGCTGATGGCTTGCTTCCCATCGCAGGTTCAAGCAACAACTGTTATGGCAATCCTCGACGTTTTGTCTAATCATTCCCCTGATGAGGAGTATCTAGGAGGACAGATAGAGCCATTTTGGGCAGAGGATCCCATCATAAAAGGTAAATATGAAGAATTTGCCGGGCGACTAAAGCAGCTCGAAGGAATTATTGATGAAAGAAATGCTGATGAGAAACTGAAGAACAGATTTGGAGCTGGACTGGTGCCATATACACTCTTGAAGCCATATTCAGAATCAGGAGTAACTGGACAAGGGGTCCCAAATAGTATCTCCATTTGAGTTCATGATATCTATCTTGAAATCAAAAGCTCTGGAAATAAAAAAAAAATAAAAAGAGAGATTGCGTGAGATAGAATGGAATGGAATGTAATAAGACAGGTAAGGCCCAGTCGATCTGAGTTCCAAATGTTTCTCAAATTGGGAACATGTAACGAATGCTCAAGCCAAGTATTCTCTGTCTAATGGTGGTAAAAGCATATGTAAAGAGTCTCCTTATCATAATTTCTTGTTCTATGTAAAGAAAACAGGCAGGCTCCTTGCAAATCCCCTCTATAGTCACTTTACACTACACCCAAACACACACTTCGCTCACTCTTTTCCTTCCTAATCCCCTCTCCTAGCTCTCACACTACACTTTACTATTACACTAAAAAACTGCACACTTCATCACAGACCAGCACACATTAATTGCTCTCTCTTTCTCCCAACTCTCGGCCTAAACAGGCGCATACTAGCACGTGTCACTTCTGTACTACAGCCCACACGCAAAGCTTAGCCTAAAACACTACCACAGAACACAAGCGCTGGAGTCAGAGAAGTCCAGAGCTAATTGTCATATTGAAGCTACTACAGAGGTTTTCTATTTTCATTTTGGTGACAAACTTATAAAGTTGGGCTCGCATGAAGAAATTTCTAAAAATATGATGAAATTTAAAAAAATTCTACAAAGGGGGCGTTTTGTGTATGGTTTTCTATCTTGGGGGTCTTCGCATTTAGCAAATGCGAGCTCCTTGAGCTCGCATTTGCTAAATGCGAAGTTGACATGAATTTTGAGACCACCGAAATTAAAAAAAAAAAAAATAAGCGTACCTCGCATTTTACAAATGCGAGGTCATATATACCTCGCATTTAGCAAATGCGAGGTCATGTATACCTCGCATTTTGCAAATGCGAGGTTAGTAACCACCAATATAGAAGCTCATTTCCTTCATTCTTTTTGACGTTTGATTAATACGTATTTGGACTTCTTAACTTTAGTAAATATTTAAAAGTCACTACCACTAAATATGTCACAGTTATGATTTCTTGGCTGTAAAGTTGTGTGAATTTCATTTCACTCGACAACAGTGAGACTAACAATAATCCTTTTTTGCATTTAAAATAGCGATTGGTGGATTCAAAAAATTCATGAGTTTTGTAGCTTATTTGGAATTAGTCGGAAAAGGGAGAAAATGTTTGGAAAATTGCAGTTGGTGTAATTAGTGCAGAATTGTGATGATCCGAGCTCGTATCCTATAAAACCCAGAAGGATCCGACCGCGGATCGTTTAAAGCGGAAAAAATTAAAACAGGAGATCCGAGCCCGGATCATTCAAGTTCCAGTTTGATCCGAGACCTCGGATAAACTTCAGCACTTGTGGATCCGAGCCATGTAGGATCCGAGGACTACAAGAACAGATACGACCTCGGATCTGTTCGCGGATAAAGCAGAAACGAGGGTTCGTTTCTGCACTTTTCAAATATTTCTTCCCTCTTCTCACCGAAACCCTACCCCCTTTTCTCCAATCTTCTATTTAATCTATCAAATCTCCAATCCTTCACCATAAACACCTCCCTAACCCTTGTATGATCATAAACCGTAAGCTATTTCACCACAAAACATCATCAAAAGTGGATTTTGATATTCAAAAGGCAATTTTGGGCCGTACGGAATTTGTTTTATTTGTGGGTAAAATTGGACTTGTTTCTCCCTCATTTTTCATCATTATCATCCTCCAGCATCCTCCTTTACATTTGAGGTAACAATTTGCAATTTCTTTTGAGATTTTATAATTCCTATTTTTGCATAATTTTTTAAGTTTTTGAGTAATTGTGATAAAAGCTTATTTGTTGAAATTTCTTGATACAATTGTGTTACATTGTGATAATATATACATTTAGTTATGGTTGTTTGCTTAGATTTGAGAAATTTGTTAATATGGAGAGAAATTTTATAATTTTTCTCATGAAAGCACACTAGACTTTTGTTTGCAATTTCTTGTTTTGGTGTATAATTTGCATTTGTTTGCTTGAAATAAGTGCATCTTTATGCAAATTGATGATAAATTGTGGTAAGTATAGTGGGTAGTTATGTATTGGTTTGAAGGAAAGTGCCAAAAGTTGAGAATTGTTTGAATTGAAGATGTTTTTCGTAAGGCATATGGAGACGCTGCGATGAATTGATGGTTGAAGCTTAATGTTATAGCATAGTGTCATTGATAGTCTACTTTACTTTCAAATTTTATTCCAATCTTACAAATGGTTTTAATTGTCAAAGTATTGGAAGTATTTAGCGTATCATGACAACCTTGTTGGTAATATTCATTCTCAATGTGAGAATTGTATTTGTGAGGTCTTACATAGATTTTTTGCTTGAATTTTTGGTAAATGTTGGCAGGTAGTTTAGCCGTTTTTCAAGGGGAAACTCTACCGAATTTTTTTAAAATTCTTATTTAATACGTGCGAACAAGTTTCTACGATTTCTAATGAAGGTTCATCTTGCTTTTGGTATAGGTATTATGGCTCGCACAAGAAGGTCTAGAGCACCGACACCTCCATCTTCGTCGACAGAGGAACACACACCTTCCTTGCATGAGGAGTCACCTGAAGAGGAATCTCCGTCACCAGAGCCGCCACCTCGCTCTCGCCGGAAGACCGCGTCTACTAGCCGTGACGAGCCACCTCCGGACTACGATACCACTCGATTCACCTCGCTTGAAAACCAACAATGGTATGAATTCGGCTTAGACAAGGAGATTATCATCGAGAAGCACTTGGCATCGGAAGTGGATGCACACTACCACATCTCCACAGCATTCAAGCGCCTTGGTTGGGAGAACATCTTACAACTTCCCAAGCATTACTACCCAACCTTGGTCCGGGAGTTCTATGCCAACGTGGAAAACAAAGAAAGCCACAGTGGCAATCTCATCGTCTCGTGGGTTCGAGGCAAGAGAGTGGCTCTTACTCGGGAAACACTGGGACACTTCGTCAAACTCAAAGACGAAGGACAAGATATCAAATTGACGAAGGAGTTCAAGGCGCGAGACCCTTGGCAGGTGGGAGAGGCGGTTGGACGCCTCAAGGGCCAGTATAGAGAGAGAGGAACTGCGAAGAAGCTTACAGTTTACGCCGATTCATTCGAGCATAGGTACCACCTAATCTTCTACCTGTTTGCCTTCAATGTGGTACCAAAAAAAAGTGGAAAACGGGAGCTCCGCAATAGTGATCTCTACTTTTTGCACAAGATGATGCATGGTGTGGGTGTGCAGCTGACCGGCATTCCTCTACCCAGCATTATCATCAGTTATATGCGGACTACAGCTCGTATGAGGGCCGGCGAGACCTGCTTCGGGTTTCCAAGACTGCTATCCCTCATTTTTCAGAAGGTCAAGGTTCCTCTTGGAACCGAGCGAGCTATCGTCACTAGGTCTGTCAAGGAGGTTAATACCTCTATACTCAAAGCTTTGGGCATTCCTACGGATTTTGGAGCTGCTCTGGTTCGAGACACTGGAGAGGCATCGATTTCCGCCCAGCCTCCTCCGCACACTGAACCACAAGCGGAAACTCGAGAGGCGGAGGCGCAGCAAGCTCTTCCTCCTCCTGTTCCTCGACCACCACCTCCTCCGAGATCAAAATGGCAAGAGCTCCTAAATGCCATTTGCTGTATGGAGGGACGAGTAGTCGAGCGTATCGATCAAACGGAGAGACGGATGACGGAGCGACTAGACAGGCATGATCGCCGTCTTCGGGCGATGGAAGAACACTTCAACATCCGCCGGTCGCCTACTCCGACACCTCATCAGGAGGAGGGCCATATTGGTACCTTACAGGGTCCTCATGGAGCGGAGGTCACCTCATCAGGAGACAATAGACTCTCGTTCCGAGCAGCCATGACGCTCTGTAGCGGCTTGGATCTTTTATTTCTCTATTTTGCTTTTCTTTTGTTAAGACAACCTTTGTAGTTTTCTTATTGGATTATCTTGTCCAACTTATGTAGTTTGGTACCCTTGTTGTTTCATTTTGGACAGAATTGGGATGATTGTGAGGTTTGAAGGGCATCAAATTGCATGACCACTCATTTTGAGGGAAGTTTCAGTGTCTCCTACATGTCTGTACAATGAGGGCATTGTAGATTTTAAGTGTGGGGGAGTGATTACTTTGTCTTATGGGTGGTTGTGTTTTGAAATGTATAATTGCAGTTGTGTATGGTTAAAAATGTTGGAATTTGTCTCTGAAATGTTGTCCTTGAAATTAATTTGTCTGAAATGCTTAAATGACAAAAGAAATTGATGCCTAAATTAAAGAATAATATTATTACTTTTCTGCTCCAATGAATCATGTATTGGATAACAAGGGGGCTGCCATTTACAAATGTCGACATTCGCTTATTTAAGGGTTCAAAACGAATTCAAATTAGTGGATTAATGCGTTAATTTACTTAACACTCTGAAGGTTATTGAAGTATGAAATTCATGCACGAATTGAAAGAAATGTAAGGGCTAATTAAGAGGATAAACTGCACAACAGATTGGGAGCAAAATTGTACAAATATAGGAAAGTCGTAAAAAATAAAGCGTGGGAGTTGCTGCACACGGATCCGAGGCGCGGATCCGTGTTAACAAGATTGATCCGAGGCCTCGGCTGTACTTCTGGAGTAAGGGATCCGAGGTCATCGTACATCCGACCTCGGATCTACGATGGAAAGTCCACGGATCACTTTGATCCGAGCACGGATCAGTATTAACAAGATCGATCCGAGGCCTCGGTTGTACTTCCGGAGTAAGTGATTTTGAGGTCTTTAGGATCCGACCTCGGATCTAAATAGAAAGTCCACGGATCATATGGATCCGAGCTCGTATCTATTATCACTAGACAGATCCGAGGCGCGGATCTGTCTTTTTCCTCAGGTCAACAGGCAGAGCCGTTTTGCTACATCTTTCTCACAGAACTTACAGCTATTTTGCAGAGCTTCACCTTCAATTGGCTAAGTTCGCTTTTACCTTTGTTCACCTTCCTTTCAAGTAGTTAGTTAATGCGCATGTTATCATATTTAAATTTCAAATCATCACATTTCCTGAAATATATGTTATTTACAATTCCATTCCAACCAATATTTCCAGCAACGTGTCCAAATATTTTAAAAATAAAACCACTATTCGCCAAAGTAAAGAATATAAACAAAAGGAGAAGCAAACAACAACTACACAATTAAAGTGCTGAATATCAATGATGTCCAAGTCTTCCATGAGTGCCACATCCTCTGGGTTTGTGCACTCTCTGTGT